CCAATGCATCAGTGGGCCCATTTTCAGTCAATTTGGGGGATTCCTGCAAAATAACACTAATGGTTATGGTGTCCCCTTCAATTGAGGAGCACATGACGTCTTGCAAAGGAATATATAATGAAATAGCGCATGGCTTTAAACTCTCATGGTTTAGTCATGCATGTATAGGAAAGTGCAGATCATGGGAATCTTGCGAGCTGAACAGCACCGGCAATGGAATTCAATGCTCACCCATGGAAAGAGAAGGTTAGACAATTGCCAAACCTTTAAATTATAAATTATATATGAAAGAATGCTTATTTACTGTAATGTCCTCTGAAATTCAAAGGCACCCACTTTGATGACTATGATAGCATGTTGAACTGTAATTTCCAACAGTTACTAAGCTAATGTCAGTTTTCTTTTCAATGTAGCACCCTGGTCTAACATTGGTACTGTCTTCTTTATGCTAATGTTACTGTCTTCTTTCGCAATGTAGTAGTAGTACAACATTGGTACGACAAGGTCATGATGTCCATAATCAAGAAGATAGGCGAGTGGATCCCTCAACTCTGTAAATAGACGTTTACTTTTCTTTGGCCTTTTCGCTTGACTAACCACCTTTGTCATTCCATTGATCGATTCATTTCTCTACTTCTGTTGCAGGACCCGGGCTTCACTTTATGTATAATCTCCTCCACTTTGATGGGCCTTTCCCTATGTACTGGTCCAGCTCATACCTTGGCCAGCTTCTGGGATGTGCAGTCGCTTCCCTAGGTAAGAGAATACTCGTGTGGATCACTGGAACATTAATATTCTTATTTTGATGGAGATGGATATGCAAAGGAGTATATTATTATTATTATCATTATTATACTTGGTGTTCATTAATTCCATTTTTGTGAACCATGCAGCAATATACGTGGCAGCCAAATTTTCATTGGGTTTTCCCTTTGTAACTACACTGGTAATATATAAATGGCGAAGGAGGCACTTGTCAATGTATGACAATATAGAAGACTTTCTACGGAGTAATAATAATCTCATGCCAATAAGGTACTCTTACTCCGACATCAAAAAGATGACCAGAGGTTTCAAGAACAAATTGGGGGAAGGAGGCTATGGCTCTGTATACAAGGCAAAGCTCCGTAGTGGTCGCCTTGTAGCCATCAAGATGTTGGGTAAGTCCGAAACTAATGGGCAAGACTTCATTAATGAAGTTGGTACCATTGGAAGGATTCACCATGTTAACGTGGTGCGACTTATTGGCTTCTGTGTTGATGGTTCAAAACGTGCTCTAGTATATGATTTCATGCCTAATGGGTCTCTTGAGAAATACATTTTTTCTCAACAAGGAGTTGTCTCCTTAAGTTGCCAGAAAATATTTGAAATCGCACTTGGAATAGCTCGTGGTATTGAATATCTCCATCAAGGTTGCAACATGCAAATTTTGCACTTCGACATTAAGCCTCACAACATTCTTCTAGACGAGAACTTTATTCCCAAGGTCTCTGATTTTGGGTTAGCAAAGCTGTACCCATTGGATAATAGCATTGTATCTTTGACTGCAGCAAGAGGAACCATGGGATACATTGCTCCAGAGCTATTCTATAAAAACATTGGAGGTATTTCGTACAAAGCCGATGTGTATAGTTTCGGAATGCTATTGATGGAAATGGCTGGTAGAAGGAAGAACCTGAATGCGGGTATAGAACAATCAAGCCAATTTAGCCAAATCTACTTTCCGACATGGGTTTCTGATCAGTTGAAGGCAGGAAAGGACATAGAAATAGGAGATGATGCAACAGATGAGGAAAAAAAGATCATAAAGAAGATGATGATGGTGGCTTTATGGTGCATACAAATGAAGCCTATCGAACGCCCTTCAATGAATAAAGTAGTGGAGATGCTTGAAGGAGAAATTGAGAGCCTCCAAATGCCTCCAAGGCCTTTCTTATACCCACAACAAATTCCTGCAGATGAAGTTGGTGTGGACAATCGAAGTCCCTGTGCATCAAGTGCTTCAGAATCTGAAGAGATTACTTTGATTGCGGATGCAAATGAAGTGAATTAATATTAGTCAAGATGTGGATCTATGTAAGGGTGGATCTATGTAAGGGAAAGTTAGCAGCTCTACTCTGTATTTGATCATAGAACAAATATATTTACATGTTGTAATATATTTAAGCAAATAATCAGCCTCTGCCTTGGGTTATTGTTTGAGAAACTGCCTGCCAGAAATGCAATGACTTGAACTTTGATGACAATTAGGTTTACACAAATGAATTGGCCAAGAGAAACAATTCATTTGTATATGGATATGTTATCGAGTGGGCTTATTATGCTTGAATCAAGGGTTCAAAATTAAACAAGACCCTATACGTCAAATAATCTCCATATCCGAATTAGAATCCAGTTTTACCGACAATGACTAAACCATATGTAAGAGTTTACAGACCCAGAGCAAAGCTAAAGACTTGGACTTGGACCAAAGTGAAACTCAAACTCAAACTCAAAAACCTTAGTGCAAATCCCTAAACTCCTTAATTTCTAGGGCTGAAATCTGATGCAACTCTGATGTGGAAATCCCTAACCTCCTTAATTTTTGTGAACTAGAGCTTAATGGAGTCAGCAATTTGGGCTAAAAGATTGAAAAGTGCAAACTACACGACTGAACCACAGACAGGAACGAAGAAAAAGCAATTTAGCCTAAGCTGCACAATCCACGTGGGCCTACCATGGAGGGATTCCAAAGGGAAGTGCCAGTTTCACTAAATTCTAAATTCTTAACATAGGAATAACAAATTAATTAAAAGAAAAAACCGCAACTAAACCAATCTGATAGATAACACACATCACAGAAGTAGAAGACATTGCTGTTAAAACTTAAAAAAAGGCTCTGTTATTAGATCATTGATCCCATCCTCAATCCTAAAAAAAGCTCTTGATTATTGAACCAATCTGATATATCCCATCCATTTTCAAATCCACTAGGATCGGCAAAGCCTATAGATGTTCTAAACAACCACACGTAAGGTGGATTCAACGAGTTTAATAACCAAATCCAAAACAAGCATGAGACGGATGTTCTAAGCAACCACTCTGTTTCTTTCTAGTTTCTACTAAATAATGTTGCCTCCATCCATTTTCAAATCCTCCAAGTCTAGGATAAGCAAGCCTCCATCAAAAAACACCAAGAGCCATGAAAGGCAAATGAGCTCTACTTGACCTCTATCAAAAACACAATAATAATCAACTGAGTAGAACAAGCAAACAAGCTCAGCTAAGATGTAGTATTTTGGGAGGAGAAACGAAAAAACAAACTCAATTGCAACCTTCACTAACCAGAAACAACAAAAGAATTGTAGTTAAAAATATATACAACAACTTAACCTAAATCCATATACTCATCTTACTACTAATTATACAACACCACATTCCTCGTTCCTAACTTGTCACAATTTCAGAGACTTCAATTGAAAAGTGAGAGATTAAAAAAATTACCATTTGCACC